AATATCGTCCTAGTTAAATAAACTTATTTTCTTTTTTTAACTCATTGCTCAAATGAGTATTATACATAATGACTTCAATGTTGTGGGTACTCAATTGCCCCAACCCTCATGGCAGTTTAATACTCGTTCCAATATTGTTTAGAGGAACTTGTTAACAAAGTCCAAAATTTGATGCTTAAACAGAATTTGAATTTCTGGTCTAAATATAAATTACTTCACATGTCGGGAAAATGGAAAAAAATCACAAATTTACAGATTTTTTTCAGTTTCCTTAGAGGTTTAAATATATTTCAAAATTCAACAATTTTCAAAAATTCCACTCATATATGACTAACTTTCATAGAATATTTATGTTAAGCTGATTTTTGTTCCTTCAATAGAGTTCATGCAATTCGTTATTCCGTAGATTAAATCACGAAAAATACGTGGAATAAAATGAAACCATTTATAACACAATAACACGTTCTTTCATGTTATTTACCCTTGGACTCAGTAACACAACTTATACAAACACATGTGATTTTTCACAACAAATCTGAGCAGAAAGAGTTGAATTAAAATTAAATGTCATTTAAATCTTAACTAACACTTTCTGGAAAATAATAATTTATGGACTACTACGGGATCATCAGTAAAATTGATTTGATTTTTACTACAGTTTTATTACAAAATTTAGGAAAGAATTTTCACAATAATAATAATAATAAAATAAATTTTTTGAGAAACATTCTTTACATTGTAGAATTACATTCATTTCAATTGATACAATAATTACAACTAGGAAGAATGCTCTCAAAAGGACTGAATTCAGTTTTGAGTCTGATTTTCCATTCAGCCCTCGAGCAAAAATATTGTTAAATTTATATTTACAATAATATACAACTTTATTTGAAAAGAAAAAAAAATTACCTCAGAAATATTGAACATTTGAGACAATTTCACAAAGTGAAGAACATTTGTGTTGAAAAAATATAAAAACATATGATAAAAAAAATTGATTCATACATTATTGCCTACATTCGAATCATCGAAATACTCTGCCACACTATGGTATGCCATTGTTAAGAGCAGAGATTTAACTCTCCTCGCTTAAACAAATGAGCTTTCAATAATTTCAAATTCAAAATTTTTTAAAATTCAATATTTACAACTTCGGTCACATGTTTGGAAACTTTGAATATGCTGAATATTACTATCAACGTAAAAGCCTTAAACTTATATTCTTCTTCTTTAGCAAATCAACACTATTCGAGAACGGTCATTTCGATTTGGTTATAATAAAATTCAATACCACAAGAAGATAATAAACTTCCAGAAATTAAGTAATATTTTTGAAAATAATTGTTGAAAATACACTAGGTATGTAAAAACCATCAAATAAAATAAGTCAACCTGGTCGTTCAGCAGGACACCGCCGTTTTTATTGTTAGTATGTTTGAAAATCTCATTCAAATATGAACTATCACAAAGTTGATTCATTGTCCATTGAATTTATTGTTTGAAAATAATTATGGATTTTAAATATTTCAATGAATAATTTGGAGATTATCGATTTATGGAAATGGGCGGTTAATTTCACGGTAACGATTCGTTTTATATTTTAACACTGATTGTTGGTATTTCTTAAATCTAGTTTTGAACGGTTGACTCTCCAAAACTCCAACAGATAGTAGGGTGGTAATCGTATTAAAAATTCTCTCCCAATTTTTGTCATAGTAAATAAGAAAAATCAAAATTATTAGAAATGCATTTATGAGTTCTAACTTTTAATTAAACGATTTTTTAATATGTGCGACGTGTGGATATGTTACTTACACTGTGTGTCGTAATATTTGTAATTGCAATTGCATTTTCTAAATAATCGAGTAAATTAAAGATCTCTCTGCGTCTTCAACAAGGCTTAGATGAACGTCTGATGTACAATCCTTCGTTAATTATACAGCTGGCATAGTTTATAATCATTACTGTCACATAAACCACATTCGTCCAAATTTACAAACAGAAATAATTCTTGCACTCTGCTTCAAGAATATATTATATATAATTGAGTGAAAAGAAATTCCTGATTTTTGCATGAAATTCAAAACTTCATTTAACATATTTCAGATTGTCCGATTAGGGACAAATATTCACCGTCTTATAGTATAATTTTGGCCATTTTAAAGGTAGTTCCATAATGCCTCCCTCGTAGAAGTCTGGGTCTTCATAAGCGAAAACTCTAGTGATTGATTTTCACAACCTAATATTGATCCTAACTTTTTATCACGCCTTAAGTTTTGTAATACGAGTAAAAAGTGGTACTTCCTTGGCCCAGGTCCAAACTTATTGTGGATGCATTAAAACTGCCCAACAAAGTTAAGCTGCCAGAATCTTTGGCGAGTCACTACATATTGGTGTGTCTAAGCGTTGTCCTGGTGAAACACATCACCTCAGTTGTTGATAGTATAAAACTTAATTTAGTGTTTGACCATACAGAAGCAACTCGTAATGAATGACTCCTTTTCAATCCCACCAAAAATACTGTGGAACCGTCTTGGTCGTTAGTTCTAGTTTGGACAACGTTTGAGCTGCTTCGCCGCACTTTGACCAAGATTGTTTCTGAACAATATTGCCGTATGTGACCCAATTATCATCCCCATCACCACATGTTTAAGAAATGGGTCGATTTCATTTCGTTTGGCCAAGGTTTCACAGATTGAAATTCTCTCCACCATGAATCTTGGTGTTAATTGGTTTGGTATCCAAACATCGAACTTCTTTTTGAATCCAACATCAGGCAAATTGTTAAAAACTGTTTTATGGTCAATTATTAACTATCGACTATTTACATATAGTCAACTACAACTGTTGACTGCCGGTCAACTTCAATTATTTCTGCGATTTTATCGACATTTTCGACAACGGGACTGCCTGTGGGAAGTGCATCTTTGACATCAAAAATACCTGAACAGAAACGACTAAACCAAACTTGCACGATGCTATTACAGTATCGGCACCATTTATCGAAATTTCAGCTTTATCAAAGCAAAAATGTAAAATGTAGCGAATTTTCTGCTTGTTGGCATAAAATAATTTTTTGTGTAAAATGTCGGTTTGACGATAACCATAAATTCGAAATTGTTTTGATAATACTTCACGAGCTATACATATATATCGAAAAATTAATGATTTATAAGGAAAAATAAGGATTCCTTTGTCCCCCAACCTATTATCTCTTCAAAAGTTTATCAACTCTCATAATTTTTTTGATTTCTAGATCCATCGTTTAGGCACAAAGTGAAAACATTAGCAAAAAGACAATTTTCATAACTTACTCCAATGTTGACTTTCAGAGTAGGTAATTTGCGCCACCCTGTAGAATATATATTTACAATTAATAGCATAAACAACGGTGATTTTCACCGTCACAAATCACCGGGATAATTATGAACACCTCAGCGTGCATACGAATCAAGGTTACGATGCGATCATTATTTTTAAACTTGAACGAGAGATTTTAGGTACCGGTGCACGATTTCAGATGATCGTCGTGACATTTCAACAACACTGACAAAGCGGAGACACGGTCGAGCAGGTGTTTTTCGTTAAGGTACAATTTCAACGATCAACCGAGGGCTGGTGAACGTCGAGCAGATGTCGCTGCTTCTTGTCAAGGACTGCGGGCCACTGTCGCCAACGACAATAAAATATGTCTTAGGAAAGGACAAGCTAAAGACAGTTTTCTCTATAAATTAAAGAAGCTTGCTAAAGAGAGGAAACAACGAGAGGATGCATATGGAATTTGTTTCCGCTATATATTCAGAGGAATATATTTTTCACCCCTCGCACATCACGAATTTGGATGAACAATTAAAACAAGAAAAAATTTATTATATTATATTATCATAGGATCTGAAATGTACAATTCCCTTCAAGTAATTAAGATGTGGTAATATTAGGTTAAAACTTGGCTTCAATATTACCAAATCAAATATTTAAAAACTATGTACCTACGTAGGTACTAATTACCTATTTCATGAATAATTCTATTGAATTATCTATTTTATGAAAAATACTATTCTTGATATCATGTATATATTTCCTCTTTGTGCATTTGAAATGCACGTTGAAATAGAGGAGGAATAAAAATATACCCAAAGAAATACGGTTTTACAGTCACTTTGACCAGCAAATAGATATCTAATAAAGTTAAATTAAAGATACAATTGAAACAAAAAACAATTAATATTAGTAGAAGTCAGTATTTTGTCGACGGGGTATATTATATATATATATATATATATATATATATATATATATATATATATATATATATATATATATATATATATATATATATAATTTTAAATATGATTGAAAATATTTGGTAACCATCATTCTCTCTTTAATTTTTAGGTTACTAACTTCTTGTAATGAAACCACCAAATGGTTAAAACAGTTAAACAGAAAAACAACAAGCATTAACGGTGGATCTTGAGAACCATTTCTACACATTTCAAGAAGACGAGAATATAATTTCTAAATCATTATAAATCATCACATATTTTCTTTCGTGTTATCATTTTCTATAGGTTATATTATGAAACATTTCAAGGCATTTTTTATTTACATCTTTAAATTTATTCATTCAGCAAATAATAATTACTCCCACTCAAGTTCAGCTCCTCCATAACAGGAAAAATAAGTAAAGCTCTTTCCCTCCCTCACATGCTTACGTAAACATTGGTGTTCTTTTGATGTATTCTGTTTTTTAAATTGATTCAAGAGCAGCTATTAAAATTGAGAACAGGGTTAGGAATCATGGAATGATTCATCAAAAATAGCAGAGCAATGACACCACGCCACCTTGAGGTCCTCTTAAGTACTACTTTTTTTTTTAATTCAGTGGACCTACAGTTTAATACCGGTTCCGAACAGCCATTGGGCTTGTAATCAATGTACATTACCAAGCATATATCATTCATTAAACTACTTAAATCATAGACAAACACAAATACCCGTGCCTTCAGTGGGGCTCGAACCCGAGTTCTACCTCACCATAGTCGGGTGTTCTACCGACTAAGCTATGGAGACCGGCAAAAACGTCTTCTTAGATAGTCTATCAAAGATTTTTTTTGAAACATTCTGATTTAAAAGAAGTTGGCTATTTTTGGAAATTTTTTCGAGAGTAGACATCGATAGATGCATCTATAGTTATATAGATGCATTCACTTAAATTATAGTATCTATTCGCTGGTCTATTCTGAAAATATTTTGCCCTGTGATGATTTTTGAAAACTCATTGTGTATATGGCGACATCGATATTGGTTGGCTTGCCACTATTAATCTAAAAAGGACGGTATTTTCACAAGAAATATGACTGAATATTCTTCAAACCCATACTAATTGAGTTTTAGAAGGATGTACCAATGACCACCAGAAATGTAAAGAGTTTTATGGGCCATATTTTGCAACGCACAAAAACACATTGTAAAATAATCTACTCATATGTTTTGATATTAGACATCTGGACTTGAATGTATTTGGGTATGAATCAATTATAAAAGGCAAAGTTACTCAAAAGTTCGACAGTCAATAACTTTAAGTTTGTAGATCTGTTTTCTGATAACGAAAATATAATAAAAATGTGATTAAAAAATACTACATCTTTTGCTAATGAACATGTCACCTGCGTGAAAGGAACACTGATATTGGACTCAGTGAACTTAAGTGAAGTGCAGGTGGTTTTCCTAAGGAATTCTCAATCAGTTAGATATGAAAAATTTAAAAATGATACTTCAATCGACAGTATACTTAAATAGTAATTTTATTTTCTTTAGTTACAAAGAATTGACCTGATGTAACATCGTAATATATCAGGATACAGAATTTCATGAAAAAAAAGACCTAAATCAAAAAGGAGAGAAAAACTGCTGACTAATGAAAATGACAAAAAATGTTGTAATGATTTTTTTAATCTTTAATATATTTTCCTGATTTTACGTCTTGTGAGTCTTGTGATATATGAATTAATTTTTGTGTTATTTTTCTGCATATTTTTTTGTTGATCCTTACTGTCGATGTAAATCTATCCTACTGAATACTGAATTGTTATTTCGAATTGTAGTTTTTCTACTGATTCAAACTCTATTTTATAAGCCATAAAGTTTTATGGCTTAGTCGAAATCAGGAAGAGAATGGAGGGTTGGAATCAGGATTCTCAGTGGTCGGATATAGGGATAGTTGTCAGCCGGTCAGTAAACGGTGTTTCGGTTTATTTCCAATCGTTAACGTATAACATCAAATATATTAATTATATAGTCAAAATGAGATGAAATTATATACATTTCTTGAAAGAAAAATATGCAATCGTTCAGAAAATCCTTTTTTCAAATGTACTTTTGAGTAATTTCATCATCTTTTGAAGCATTCTTTCAATCATATCGATCAGTGGTCGGAATTCGGTGCCATTGCGTTATAAGAAGGTTTCATGTTTCATCTAAAAAGAATTGGAAGCATTTTAGACATTATTGTAAATTAAGAATCTTTTTACGTATTCCGACAAAATTTTGTTACTATCGTTTGGTTTTATGAGCTGTTTATTGAGAAATCGAGTTTTTTTGAACAAACTATCAGTGGAAAAATTACTCTTTCAATAATTTTATAAATAATCCCTTGATTTTTTGTCCGTAGGAACCCCAAAACGCTTAGTCAGTGCGAACAATTTTGAATCTACAAGTTCATTAAATTTAATTAAACGAATATCAAATTTTATTCCTATTCCCTAACCGGAAAAATGCTTCACACGCTGTAAAATGTTAATTGAATTTCACTCAGATGGAATTATTCATTTCGTCGAAGAAACAACACACACTAGAAACATATTATGCCACTAATTAATTCAAATCAAGTCATTGGGTCAATAAAAATAGGTGAAAGAGGGACCATTAAGAATATCCCGCATTTAATCGACACCAGGAGACTGGTCCCACGGAGAAGGCGTCACGCAGTCTGATATCCAGGTCTGGAGTTCAAAGACCCGCGAACACGCTTGCCATTTTCCTTCTCTGTTCGACGACGACGATTCGAACGAAATGACTCATCCGATGTATTGCTACATAATAGAGGAATAGTTTCATTTCTCCAAATGAATAATGTACGAGGTCGGACGAAGAAAAACAATGTGGTTTTTATGAACGCGTTGCGCAAATCTATGATTAAGCTATAATATCATGTTCAGCTTTGTCAGTTGAAAGAACAGGTACATTGTTGATGCCCATATTCAATTACAAATCAACAAGGCACGGTTGTTTTGTTGTACTTTAATTCGACAAATTTATCGTGTCTTGTTGATAATTTTCCGGGTATTTTTATTTAAAAAAAATTTTAACGACAAACAAAAAATTTAAGTTTGGAAAATTAAAATTTTCTTCAAAATCTTGTGTACCTTGTTAGCGCCGACTACTAGGTAAGTTAATTTTATAGTAAAAATTGAAAAGTTCATTGTCTGAACGATGGTGAAAATATTTGAACTCTTTGCAAATGAAGTGAATCGAGATGGTTATAGTGGACCGACAAAAATAACTAAATTACCACACAGGAAGTCTGGGTTTTCATCACGAGCAAAATACAGATGTTTGTATAGGTCTCAGAGCTTAGTGGTATGTAAGAATTAGAATGAGTAACGTACTTTCTTCACAAAACCAACTGCGTTTCGGAACCAAAGTTACACTATAGATTCATAAACTTGAACAAAAATTAACATTATCAAGATAACCAATTAACTACTTATTGTTTGATAATCCTTGGTGGAATTTACATTTATATCGAAAAATTATTCGAAATAAAAAGTTGTGTAAAATTTTGTTGTGTAAAAAATACGTAAAATTAACAAATGTAGATATACTTATTCGTCAAGCTAGTTATTCAACGTTCGGATTGTCGTCTTCGAAACTGTGTTTTTTTAGAAGTACAGAACTATAAATTGCAATAAAACAACGATGGATCATTCGATCGACAAGAATTTTTTTTTATTCGAAAGATAATCTTGTGGCATTACATTTTAAATATGATTTCTGGCATATGACCGCCGCGGCTGGCTCGGATGTAGTCCAATCTGGACGTCCAATTTTCGATGACTTTTTCCAATATTTGTGGCCGTATATCGGCAATAACACGGCGAATATTGTCTTCCAAATGGTCAAGCGTTTGTGGCTTATCCGCATAGACCAATGTCTTTACATAGCCCCACAGAAAGTAGTCTAGCGGTGTCAAATCACAAGATCTTGGAGGCCAATTCACAGGTCCAAAACGTGAAATCAGGCGGTCACCAAACGTGTGTTTCAATAAATTGATTGTGGCACGAGCTGTGTGACATGTTGCGCCGTCTTGTTGAAACCACAGCTCCTGGACATCATGGCTGTTCAATTCAAGAATGAAAAAGTTAGTAATCATGGCTCTATACCGATCACCATTGACTGTAACGTTCTGGCCATCATCGTTTTTGAACAAGTACAGACCAATGATTCCACCAGCCCATAAAGCGCACCAAACAGTCGGCTTTTCAGGATGTAACGGTGTTTTGACATACATTTGAGGATTATCTTCACTCCAAATGCGGCAGTTTTGTTTGTTGACGTAGCCATTCAACCAGAAGTGCGCTTCATCGCTAAACAAAATTCGCTTATGAAAATCGGGAACAACGGCAATCTCGTTTTGGGCCCATTTGGCACTATTTGCAAGTGTTGTTCAGGCGTGAGTCTATTCATGATGAATTGCCAAACCAAACTGAGAATAAATCACTTTTCAGCTGTTAAATCGGTCACCATCTTCGACAGTAATGCCAACTTAAAGTTCTATACCTCTAAAAAAAACACCCGTCGTTATATATATATATATATATATATATATATATATATATATATATATATATATATATATATATATATTTCGGGATCAAGTTTTCAGCAATTAGCAATAAAAAATACCACTCGTTAACTTTCCATATGTAATAAAGTCCACAAAGTTCGCGAAAAAATGAATTTTCATGGACTGACGCACCGTCAGTACAATTACTTTAGCGTTTATTGTTAGTCATTTATATCGCTATTGTCTAGGGAATAATGAAAGTGACTGGTGAAAGATAAGGCGCTTTTCTAATTTCATCATACACGTGTGACACTAGCTACAATCTCCTTTACTCCACGTGAAACTCTAAACCTTAGATGCTTAGTCGAAAGTTCCTATGTAATTTAATATTTGCTAAGGGATAGGAAAAAATACTGTGGTGTCGAATGAACCGTCAATCCTAGCTTCAAACTCGACAAGTCATATCGGATCAAGTTGAGGACGCTTGAGAACGGAATATTATCCTTGATTGGAATGAATCAAACTAAATGAGCATCGCTAAAATATATCTGAGTGCATTTCGACATGAGCAAAAAGAGGCACTATAACACGATTTTCCAAAACAATCTACTCAGCTGAAATAATGGTAACGAATTAGAGAAAAAAAATCTCAGGAAGATTGAGTTTGCAATCAATAGAACATCATTTGGACGAAAAGACACCAGAACGAACTTTATCAAAAGACAACTACAATAACAGAAGAAAACAAAAGCAAAGAAAGACAAGCAAAGATTTATGCACATGTCTACAGAATGAAACAGTTTAGAATACCGAAGAAACCACTCCACATAATAACAAAGACTAAATACGGCAAAAAGTGGCTAAAAGAGGTAAAAAAAAACTACGCCTCTCGAGATGCACTTTTTGTGATAGTGAGCGCATGTTAATTTGTAGGCCCTTAATCTCTTAATTGTAGGGACCTTTATCTCCCAATCAATCCTGCAATCAACACTTTGCAGCAGCAATTCGGAATTTGCTTTTATCGAAAAAAAAACATCTTCGGACGCAGACATCGTACATTATCGTATCGTTAGTTTTCGTACAACTAATTTTAAAATAGTAATATATTTTGCATTAAATTTGGCACTACTGTAGATACACATCATCTTCGTAGGAAATGAAAGTCTCTAGAGCAACCTTTTACTCTCTCGGACCAAATACGTATCCTGTTGAATCAGGCTGCCGT